AAAGAGTAAAAAGTTAAAACAGCTAAGAAAAGAAAATGTTAAAGATTATCTTTGTGAACTAGGCATAGCCTTTTTAAACAAGACCTCTAAAACATAAAGCATAAGGTGAAAAAAATGAATTTTTAATTACATAAAAATTAGAAATTAAGATTGGGCACGATGCCTCATGCCTGTAATCCCAGCACTCTGGAAGGCTAAGGTTGGAGGAATGTTTGAGTCCAAGAGTTCAAGACCTGCCTGGGAAACACAGAGAGACCTCGTCACCACCACCAAAAAAAAAAAAATGCCAGTAGTCCCAGCTACTTGGGAGACTGAAGTAGGAACATGACTTGAGCCCAGGAGGTTGAGGCGGCAGTGAGCCATAATCATGCCACTGCACTCCAGCCTGGGTGACAGAGTGAGACTCCAACTCAAAACAAAACAAAAAAATCGATCAGGCACTATCTAGTGTTTTCTTTTTTTCCTCCAACACCCTAGAAAACACGTGGAATTTATCGAGCATTTTATTATGGCTCTTTGAATTAATTCAGAGGCTGTGGGGAAAGGAGAGTCAGGAGGATCCACACAGCTTGTGAGGGGTCCTCTGGGATGACTGCATTTTCTCTTCTGCTTCATTCTCTTGAAGCGTACACAACTCAAATCTGTCTTGCTTTTTATTTCTCATTTTTTTAGATTGGAAAATGTAGTTTATTTAGAAAGTAAATTAGAGGGAGAGAGAGAGAATAGAGAGGAGATTCAACTCCCCAAGGTAGAGAAGGGAGCCAAAGATAGAAAACATGGCAACCAAAGACCCATGCGGCCAGACCAGCGTTTAGCAAAGCAATGACCTTTTTATTTAATCGAAGAGTTCTGGTCCTCAAAGTCCGTATCAACAAAGCGAACACCCAATAGACAGAGAAAGATCTTTCCTTCTATACTAGGAACTCTAGCAAACCAACAAGATTTAAAAAAAAAAACACGTTTTTTTTTTTTTTGAGTTGGAGTCTCACTCTATCGACCAGACTGGAGTGCAGTGGTATGCTCCCAGCTACCACAGACTCGACCTGCTGGGCTCAGGCGATCCTCCCGCCTCAGTCTTCCAAGTAGCTGAAACTACAGGCAAAAAAAACCACTTAAAAATAAATGGGTGTAAGACAGGCACTGTGGCTCACACCTGTAATCCCAGCACTTTGGGAGGCAGAGGCAAGAGGGACAGCCTGAGCCCACAGGTTTGAAACTAGCCTGGGCAACATGGTGAGACCTCATCTCTACAATAAATAAAAAAATTAGCTGGGTGTGGTGGTACAAACCTATGGTTCTAGCTACTTGGAAGGCTGAGGAGGAAGGATTACCAGAGCCCAGCAGGTCGAGGCTGTGGTAGCCTTGAGTGTGCCACTGCACGCTGGTCTGGGGGACAGAGTGAGACTCCAGTTCAAAAAAAAAAAAAAAAGCCGGGCGCAGGGGCTCACACCTGTAATCCCAGCACTTTGGGAGGCAGAAGTGAGAGGATTGCCTGAGTCCACGGGTTGGAGACTAGCCTGGGCAACTTGTTGGTACCTTGTCTCTACAATAAATCAAAAAAATTAGCCAGGCATGATGGTATGTACTTGTGGTTCCAGCTATTTGGAAGACTGAGGCAGAAATACCACCTGAGTCCAGCAGGTGGAGGCTGCGGTGGTCTTGAGTGTGCCACTGCACTCCACCCTAGGAGACAGAGACTCCTACTCAAAAAAAAAAGCTAAAGAAAATGATCAGGTAAAGCCTGGCATGACGATACACACCTATATTCCCAGCACTCTGGGAGGTTGAGGTGAAAACAGGGCCTGAACCTACGATTTGAAACCAGTTTAGGCAACTTGGCAAGACCTCATCTCTACAATAAATCAAAAAATTAGCTGGGCGTGGTAGTACGCACCTGTAATTCTGGCTACTCGGAAGGCTGAGGCAGAAGGATCGCCGGAGCCCAGCAGGTCGAGGCTGCGGTGGCCGGGAGCGTGCCACTGCACTCCAGCCTGGGCGACAGAGTGAGACTCCAACTCAAAAAAAAAAAAAAAAAAATTAGATACCCTTTTCACAACTGTCGGAATGGCAAATATTAGAATGGTAAATGCCCAGTGATGGGAAGAATGCAGGGGACAGGAATAGCTTTAGGAAGCAATTTGAGGCCAGATGCAGTGGCTCACGCCTATAATATGAGGAGGCCAAGGTGAGAGGATTCTCTGAGCCCACAAGGTTCAAGATCAGCCTGGGCAACTTGACGAGACCTCATCTCTACAATAAATCAAAAAATTAGCCAGGTGTGGTGATGCGTGCCTATAGTTCCAGCTACTTGGAAGGCTGAGGTGGCAGGATCACCAGAGCCCAACAGGTTGAGGCTGCGGTAGCCCTGAGCATGTCACTGTACTCTAGCCTGGGCGACAGAGTGAGACTCCAACTCAAGGGAAAAAAAAAAACGAGACCTTACCTGGACATATAATACATATAATCCCAAAGTGCTAGGATTATAGGAATGAGCCACCACACCCGGCCTTCCAGGTGTATTATTATGGCAAACTAGGCCTTGCATGATAAGGCTGTCACCTGTCTCTCCAGCATCTGCCCATTTTACCCTCCCTCTGATCACTGTGCTGTAGCCCGGAAGGCCTCTGCTGGTTCCTAAAATATCTGATCACCTCAGGGCCTTTGTATAAGTTTTCCCCTTTGCATATAAGTTATTTCTCTAGTTCTTGAAAAAGGTGATTCCTTCCCACTCTTCAAGTTCCGCTCAAAAGTCACCTCTTCAAGCCAGATGTGGTGGCTTATGCCTGTAATCCCAGCACTTTGGGAGGCAAAGGTGAGAGGATTGCCTGAGCCCAGGGGTTTGAGACCAGCCTGGGCAGCTTGGCAAGACCTCATC